CCCCCCCCCGATTTGTAAAATGCCACACAAGCATTCGCGTTCACATCATCTTCCCGTCCACGGCGGGTCACTCAGCCTGCCACCTGCTCCTTGGCGAGCTGTATTTTCGTTGCAATAGTAGCCGTCCGTGCAATTGTCTTTTAGGTGCAATAGTAGCAGTCTGTGGTTTTGTCATTGCCGTCGTGAAAAACGCTCCCAAAAACCAAAGGCGAAACCTTCGACTTCACTTTTCCGTCCCAATCTTTGCCCGGCGTCGGTCAGCGCGTGGCTGCGCCCGCGGCCCGCAACGTGGTGGCGGTAACCGTGAGATGGCAGAGAAACAAACGGCTCCAAAACCGTGCCTTAGCGTCAGCGCCCTGATGGGGACAGCTCGGCGCGCGGCCGCCCCCTTTTGAAAAGCAGCCTGCAAGTCGTGCCGCCCAAATGCACGGTCGCTGTTCAGTTTTCAAGGGAAAAGCTTTCCTCTGCCTCGGCCCGGTGGTGCGCACAACCGTGCAGCTGGCGTGTTTATTTTTAAATCTTTTCGCCAGCCAAGATCTCTAATTTAAAATATTCGAAACTACCTTTTTGGGCTATAACTGCGATCGTAAATGAAGCCCACTAGCTGCAAAGTTTTTTTTTTTTTTCCTTTTCCAGCTTCCCCACCACAGATTTAATTAAAATATTGTGAAAGGCAGTCATTGAAAATGAGAAACCTTTTGAGTTGAAGGGACCCTTATTTCCCTCCGCGGAGCTTTTTGTCACCATAGAGATGAAAAGAGAAGCTCAAAATTGCACCTTCCCCTTGTGCGTTGCTACCAAGGGGATGTGGTTGCAGGTAGCAGCTGTGCTGAAATCAGCAGGGCCCTTTAGCGCTGGGGGAGGATACAGCAAGGCACTTGCTTATTGGTTGGGGACATGCAGACACATTTTAACTCCTTGCAGTGCACGAGTGTCACATCAGGATTTCCTTCCTTTCCACTGGAGATCTTGTGTTTTTGGGGGTTTTTTTTTTTTCCATCTCGTTTCCTGCACTTCAAGGCAGGAGTTCTATTTAGCTTTGTTTGCAAAGGGCAAGAATTTAAATCCTCCATTGCCTCTTTTTTTTTTTTTTTCCTCCAAAAAGCAACTTTCTTTAGAGCATGGTCGGAAACCATAAGGCGGAGTTGTTCCAGGCGTTTTTTAAATTGCTTCATTGTTTTGCAGAGGTGGATGCCTAAGCCCCGTTAAGTAACGGCGTTGCAATCCAAGCTCTTGTGCTTTTTGAGCAGAGCAGGTTGGTTTCTGAATTGAAACTTTTTTTTTCCCCCCCCAGGCAGCCTCTCTCACTGCTGGCTTTTTTGTTCCGCTGGAAGTGAAGGGATTAGCAAACTAAAAATACATGCGGTGTGTGATAAAACTGCTCCGATATAGTTTCAAAGACAGTTGCACAGAATGAAGATTATCGGAGGCAACACGACACAGGCCAGGGTTAGGCTTCTAATTGTTTTAGAAACATTTCCGCCCCCTCCACCCCCTTCCCTAATTGCATTAAAACAGAGTGAAATGCAGGCACAAGTGGGTTTTTGGCACAAACAACTCGGGCAAATGGAAGTAAAATGTAGATTTAAGCTGCCCCCTCTTGCATATGCCGTGCCAT